TACCTGCGGTGTTGCTTTGATCTTCTCATTTGCACACTATTATAACGATTTAAAATAAGAGTAACACTAAAACTTCTCAAAAGATCCCGGACACGATGGATTCTACCCTTTAGGCGATATAATAAAGCCAAACCGCTTTTCAGGTAAACCTTTCTGTGGCATATTCTGTATATCTTTTTGTTTCTGTCCAGTGTCCAAGGCACCTCGATGCCCACCGAACAGGTGACCGCTGCCCTAACCTGGATGATATGTATGCATTTCTTACGCCTCTTTTTGCATGAATGTTATATCCTCTTATGCATCGGTAGCTCACAAAATGATGTTTTTATCAAAGCTCAAATACGATAATTAATTGTCTGACGTACTGAATTCTTCCTCCCAGTTCATGTATCTGTGAAATTCTAATCGAGCTACGTAGGTAGTGGTATGCAGCAAATCCTTAAGAAACACAGAATGCAGATGAAATTTCAGTGACTTTCTATTAGAGATGTAAGCTTTTCTCATTCCTCCCTTGCGTTTGTATGTTTTAATTCACCAAAGGAAATCACGCAAGTCTTGTTCATTATCTTAGAAAACTTGCACAATATGTTCGACGATCCACAGATTTTGACATCTATCTGACATACAACTTCAGAAACTCCTTGCTGATTGAGTAACGTTTGATAGTTCCATCGTAAATTGCCGCATGACTCGCTTTACTCTGCTATCGAAACGCGGAAAGCGCCCGGTGATGTATTCAGGAAGTACGCAAGATGATTAAGTGGTAGTGGTAATTATTGAGTGAACAGCATCAATGGGATGTGCACATTTTTTCTGTAGACCGGTACTTGATTGGTTTTAAATATTTCACTGGATATATACGTATAGAAATGCTGAGTTGGGATATGGGAATGGTAAATCAGCATAGTTTATGAAGTTTGCTGAGTCCGCGTATTCTCGATTTCTGACAGACCCCGAAGCCAAACGATATTTGAGTATCCAACGGATTACGAAGATGGGAAAATTCATCGTGAACCTATGGGATAAAATAGATGTGAACGAACCAGTCGGTAAACCGTAACCACTGTTTTATGCGCACTTTAGTCAAAATTCATCAAAAATTATACCATGTAAAAAGCGACGGAATTGTTGTTAGCTTTGAACGAAAGTTTGAGGAGCACAGCTTACATAAAACAGGATCAAAACCTTTGCTCTATTAAGCAGATTAGGCATTGTAGACTGTGGATTAGCACGTCGGTTATTTCCTGCTTAGTGGTTGGAACCACTGGCGGTGCCCGTCCATAAGATTCAATGAACACAAAATAAAAATTATTTCGTACTGCATCGATCGCCGCGCAGGATAATTAGGCTCATTGCATCAAGCGAGGTAGGTAGTGATAAGTAGGTTACTGCTAAGATACCTAACCTTTGCCTAACTTTTTCTTGCGTAACCAACCCTCTCCCTCGCCCCTTCTTTCGATCCGCAACACACTATCAGTCAAGCGATAAAGCGGAAACCCCACTGATGAATTTTTTGTCAGGTAGCAATTGCAGTAATTTTTAACCATGGAATACCCTTCGACAAAAAGTGAAATTAGAATGTTGTCTCAATGCACTTTGACATAAATTTTACATGGATTTGATATTTTTATGGGAGAATATCAGATTGGGGCTAATATCGATGTGACAGACTAATCTCCGGCAAACTCTTGAGGGGTACTATAACCCCTGAATGATTGAACAAGCTTATTGAACAAGCTTATCCAATGGTCACCCGGCGTAGCAAACAAGGTTATTGTGACGAAAATACACTTCCTGGGTACAAGTATATTCAAATTCAAATTTTTATTATGGGATATAACTTACAAAGACTTCGCTTTTTCAAATCCCATAGGGTGTTTACACTTTGGTTCCGAACACGATTCACAATGTCACACACAGTACATTCATTAAATTACAGTAGTAAGGTAATGTTTTTGACGTGCACAGGAGAATATATTATGTAGTTTGTTGTTGAAAAGCAATGATTGCCAGTGCATCATCAAGCTGACGCTTGAAAGATATTAATGTCGGGGCACAGACCATGTGAGGGGGTAGAGAGTTCCATGTGCTGCA